TATATATATTTACATTCATATTCCAAAAGGTTGCAGCAGCAACTCCAAGCTTGTGCTTTCATCAAAATTTTGTCATATTTCCCCATTAAGAAACGCCTGTGGCATAAAACACGCAATTCTACCCTATCTATAAACTTTTCTAATTATCTTACCAAAAAGATCTCTTACGCGACGTGCTCCTTGTCCAACAAATAATTCATCAAATTCAGAGCCCGAAGCTTGAAAAAAAGGTACCTAAAATCGACTTAACAAGCGACTCCAGAAAAATTATGTCGCAGAAGTTCTAGAACATAAGCTGCTGAAATCAAAGGATTTTTGAATATCCACTGAGACAACTTAAAATCTTGATATGTTATTAAAAAAATAATGCAATTGGAAGAAGACAATTTTAAAATACATATTTAGAAACAGAAATATTAATAAAACTACAAAAGGATTCTGCGACATTCGCTCAACACTTATGCATGTCTTAATTTACCAGTTTTAACCGCAGATAACTTTGTAAATGTCGTTACCTGAGCTTCACCAGCAATTGCTTTCGCCAGAAGTGTTTTGCCTGTTCCAGGGGGACCGACCAAAAGCACACCTTTTGGAAGACGTGCACCCAGCTGTGTATATCGCTCTGGATCCCGGAGATATGATACAATTCCACGTAATTCGTTTTTCGCTTCATCGGTCTAAAGGTTCCAGTTACTGCATATATAAAAATGCAGGAGAGCAGTAAATAAGGAATAAAAAATGTAAACTGCAGAAGATAAGTATATTTACACCGCGAACGTCTTTGAACGTAACACCGATGACTTCTGGATCAACTTCTTCCACCGAAGTGAAAAGAGATGTCTGTGGAATACCAAATGACTTGAAAATAATGTCTGGAAAATCATTTTGAAATTTATGTGGCTTGTCATAAAACCATAAATTATCAGAAAAAACAGAAAACAAGAGGTAAGAACTCGCATTCGGCAGGAAAATGTAAAATGAAATGATGGTTGAATGTGAAGATCTGACAATTGCGGCACTTCAATTACCGAAGAATAAAAAGTACAAGTTACTTTAGAAAATCGCAAATTCTAACGGAAAAAATGGATACAATGAGAGCAATTGAATTTATCCATCTATTACAGAATGAAGAAAATAAGACTCAGATATCTGACTCTAAAACTTACAAATTCCCAATCCAACTACCGTAGCCGAAAAAAGAACTGTCCGGACTAATGATCTCTTCTGTTTCTGTTCGTTTGAGTAATCCAAAGCAGCCATATACCCTTCCTGTAATAATATATAGGCAGATATTTTAAACTGTAATCTACTTTATTTTAAGTGTAATCTACTTTATTTAAGTTTCTAAAACAAGTTCAAAGACGGAACGAAGAAACACTGAAGTGTTTCTAATAAGAATCAGTTCTCTGCAACAACAACAATTATGTTCTAAACAGCTTAGAAAACCAGAAAATTTTCAAAATAATATGAAAAATGATTCAAAATCTTGAGCTTCGAAATCGTCATACCAGAAAACCCTTCCTATCATTATCAGATACTGTCTTTAGTTTTTCGCGAAAAGCTTTTGTTTGCGGGCCTTTTCGTCGAACACTCTAAAAAGAGATTTGTTATAATAAATCCACAGAGTAAATGTAGACCAATCTCTCTTATTTGTAACAGCAAAAATAAATATAAATTACTATATTGTAATTTCTTCTCATAAAATACACTATGAAAAAATTCACAGTAGTTTTTGATCACTAGATATCGGCCTATATTCAAGAAGTTCTGAAGTACCCACCCCTCCTTCCGCCTCGTAATCGTCTGCTGGATACTAAAAGCAAAGTCATTGAAGAAATAGTAATACACCATTTCAGAAACAGCTCTTCCTTTTGTAGCTAGAAATTAAGCTCTATTCTCAGTAACTTATTTTTTAATCATAATATATTCAGCCGATTCCGACAAATTTGCATGCAAAAAAAGTTGCATCCAAAGAGCGCTTAAAAGCAGAGAAAAAAAATCACTTTATGGCACTTTTTCTCAGGAGAAAAATCACAACTCAAAAAAATGAAAGAAGTGGAACAAACTTCGATTGTGTTGATGCCCAAAATTGCAAAAAATCCTTTCTTTGGTTTCTCTACTTTTTCCAATCGCTGCGTCCGAAAACCTCGTCTCTGTATATCTGGGAAATACCAACTGTTACAACAACAATTTCATAAATTTCAACAGAACTCATTATATCAGCCTTGTTTAGTGAACAGTGAAGCACTCTGCAGTGTTAAGTTTTATTTTATGAAATCATGCTACTGTAACATGGTTTTTTTATCCACAGCAACAAGTAGCCTACTCATACAGTAGAAAAAATTAGACGAGTGGAACGTTTAGAAGTCCATTTAATGTCTAGAAAAAAAAAGAAAAAAAACTAACGGAACTGTGACCTCGATGGATAATAAATCAGATTCAGTGAACTGTCGAACCTTAATGTTACTACTGACTTTCGCTGTTTACACTGCAATGCGCACATTCGATTTTCTGAAACATTATTTGGTTCATCAAAGAATGAAAAGGATATATGAACTGCACCTGTTTCGTATAAGAAGACTTCAAAGAAATTTCTGCCGGTGTTAGCATTTGTTTTCGTCTTTGAATTCGAAGATTTTTCTCCAAAGAGTGGATAAATTTCTGTTGCATCAAGACGGGTAATAAGACAGTTATTAGAAATGCTTTGTGAAGCCGAACACAGGCATTAAAAAAACAGAACAAAAGAAAAACGAATATCCTTTAATGTTCGTTTTGAACATCCTTTAATATCTAAAATAAATACCGCGAAGGAGAACTCGAAGTATGGATTCACTGAGTGAGTTGAAACATCGCATATAGGCAAGTTTACAAAGAGGAGGACATCCTCCTGAATTCAGTTCATTCCTTATGTTATTTACTGACGGAAAACGTATATTCTGGATCTGTGTAGCCAGTGAAGTTGAAACCAGTAATGTGGTCATAGTAGTATTATCTCGAAAACTGGAAAATGATAAGAACTGTTAACAGAGACGTTTGTTGACAGTAATCTGTCACAAACATTTGTAATAGCAGGCATCAATAGTCACAAAAATATTGATATTTACTTAAGTATAAGTCTCACAGAAGAGTCCACAAAATATCCTACAGAAACCTTACAGAAATCTTCTATCGGCATCGGCTCTTTCTAAACTTAGAATATGAATTACTTCCAACCAACGTACTAGTTTCGTACCTCCTACTTGTTCTATTATCATTATCAGATATGTAACTAAGTAAGAAATAATAATAAAAGCTTTACAAATTTCTTGCTTCAAGTCAAAACAAAAGTTTTTCTATTTTAAACATCGGCAATATTAATGGGTACGCAAATAGACCAATAGATAACCATAATGAGAGATTTTGAATATACTAATCTAATGATGTTGTCAGATATACCGACCGCTTCACTTCTAGAAACAACCGTACCTAACATTGTTAAACGTAACCACTCGTATGCAATCTAAGAAAAAATATGAAAAAATTTAGCTGGACGACAAAGCCTGACCAAAGAAAATTCAATGAAAAGTTCCCTCTCTGGCAACCTCTAGTGTCATGTTATTCTACACTACTATCGATTATGAAACCAAGTTCTGCCCGTGCAACCAACTCATGGTGATATGCATCCTTTAACGATCCCAGATATTTTCTCCTATTCCCATACTCCTCCCAAACCGTACTTCTAATGCAAATGCAAACCTGTACACTACCTGTTGCCATTCCGCTGTAAAAACACCGTCCCATCCACAGAACAGATTCTCTTCCAGTTCGACAATTGAATTCCGTCGAGGTTTAAGGGTCAAACTTAATTCATCTACACAGCATCTGACCCTCTTGATCATCTGTACCTGACAATGCTATCTTAGTCCCATCCCACTCATACTTCTATTCTTTGTCCTACCCACTTTTACCATTTCATCGTGCTCCCAGCTCAGCGGTACGTCGATTTTCATTGAGAGCGGCTGTGAAGGTTGCATGCGGTTGCATGGCTGGTTGCATGCTGGGTTGGACTACACTTGGCAGTATCTAAAGAATATGTTTTAGGATGTCAGGAAATAATGTGAATGATTTCTATTTGCGCTACTACGTTGGCCATAAGGGAAAGTTTGGTCATGAATTCTTAGAATTCGAATTCCGTCCGGATGGCAAGATGCGGTATGCAAACAATAGTCAGTACAAGAATGACACGTTGATACGGAAGGAAGCATATGTTGGTAAAATTGTCATCGAAGAACTAAAGCGTATTATCGATGACTCGGAAATCATGCAGGTATGCTAAGTCCCATATTATCTGCTTGCCCTTAACAGCACACTTCCGACATGCGTCATGTATTTGTAGTTATTTCAAGCTTCTGCTCATTGTTTATCACTGAACATGATGATTTCAACAACTTCATCTTTCTCATGCTTTTCACCTGGTGTATTATCCAAAATTCTTACACCACACATTGCAGATTCCATATTGTATTGCATGGTTGGAGTTTTTGGTTGTTTGCAACCTGTTTTTTACTTTTAAGTTTGAACTGTCGCTTAGTTCCCCCCATTCTTTTCACTGTGTTATGAAAATTTCAAGCCATTCGACTCGCGGCATATATATAGTTCAAGTTGCGATTTTCTTCACGGGACACTTTTTTGTCCTAACATTAACTGCAAAATTAAATAAAAAGGATTCAATTGAGCAGAATCTTACATGACTTTAATCTGCAACTGTTTCTTGTTATGGTGATTTTCCTGTTCTGTGTTGATATGCAGTGAAAACTATTGTTTTTGAGAACTGTTAGGTACCCGAAATTTTCCGTTCTTCATGTTTGGTATTTGAAGTAATTATTATAGGAAGATGACGCAACTTGGCCGGAACCAGATCGCATTGGTAGACAGGAACTGGAAATCCTTCATAATGACGAACACATATCTTTCACTACAAGGTGACATTTTTTACGTTCGCCAATACTCTGCTGTTGTTTCGGTCATAGAAGTTTAATTGCCGACATATGAAATACGGCGGAAATCTTGTGTTAATGTTTCAAAACTGAATAGGATTCGATTACGAAAATTGTGTGTTGAATTTACTCGAAACATAAGGCTGTATACTTCAAGGAGGTTTCTTTTTCGTCGTGGTAGCGCACAAGAGGGAACATGATTCGATTGGTGAAATGCTAAACGAATGACCCTGGACTCTTCAATCTGTCGATCTGTCTTGCAGAAGATCAGATCTAACTAATAGAAAACTACTGGGCCGTATAATAATGTGTTTCAGCAAAATTGGTTCTGCTGCAGACGTAAATAAAAGCAGGGATCCAGAAGGACTGAGATCCTTTTACTATCTCGTACAAGATCTCAAATGTTTGGTTTTCTCGTTAATTGGTATGCATTTCAAGATCAAACCTATCTAAGGCTTACGTTGCAATTTTTTACTTTCTTATTTTGTTATTGCTCTGTTTTCCTGCTCTTTTGAGTTGTGTTTACGTACCGACAATCTCAAAATAAATACAGTTGTGGAATAATTTAAACCGGGAGAATGCGGATTTCTTTCCCAGACTTTCTTTTGTATCCACCTGTCTTGAGATTACTGATTGCATACCTCAACTTTACGTTAAAATTGATGCTGTCTGAGAAATGAAGCTACAGTAATGTATGCGTTTCTTCACACAAAATAAAACGTACAGTATGAATGCTTATCAGCATATCGAACTAAATAAATAAAAACATGTATAGTTATAGAGAAAAAGCAAATTAATAGGGAAGAATTTTATATATATATGGTTTCTGCCCTGGGATGTCATGAGACGTTATGCAGGTGTGAATGAAAATGATTTTTAAAAAAGATAATGGAAGTATCAGGTGAACTTCGACATGTCGAAACAAGAGAAACCAATGCTGTGAAAGGCATAAGTTTTAACGATGTTGCGAATCGGAGCCAAAGTAGTACGTACCTAAGGCTTAGATATTATATCAGATATTTCCTAAGATAATTCGTTGGATTCTTAATATAGAAAAGTCTACCTTGAAAAGTGAGTGCCAGTAAAACCAATACGACAAGCATATGAGAACAAGCATATGAGTCTAAACGATTTTAATTTCCGCATTACTTCTTGGAATATTTAACGAGACAATAAACCAAGTTTTGTTCGTATGCAGTGTGCTTCACGGAATAATGATTGCAGTTATTTTCTTATTCCTGGGAAAGTAAAGAAACGGTAGTAATTGGACAACCGCAATCGCTGATGCAATAGCGTTTGGCACCTGAAACGTATCTCCTTGCTGGACCGTCTTAGAACTCTCAGAGAATTTCAAGCCTAATTTCATACAGCACTGTATACATGACAGACGACTTTTTGCTCCCATTTGACGTCGCTGCCTTTTAGGCAATGATTGACGGAAGAGATAACTTAAACATATTAAATGCGGAAAAATACCTTTATGTAGATATCATCAATAAGAATTCCATACAGCAACCATTCCGCTGTCACAAGAAGTGTCAGACAACAAAGGGGCAACGGCATTGTTTCTGTACAACGCGTACGAAGAACTTCACGCTGGAACTCATGAATTTCAGAATTGATCTTGAAGGAATCCTCGAAGTTTTTCCCGGAATAAAGAAGTATGAAACATCATCTCGCTTACCAAAGCTTCCAAAGGAGCGGCAGCGGTAAGTACATTGAATATCACACAACACATTCCCAAACGTGAATGGATCACTTCCACTGGTAAGCCATAGTAATGGATATAATAATATGCACTCATGAGAAATATCATTTCCATAAAAATTAATCTGATGCAGCGGCTCTGTAACTGATAACATCACATCTAAAATCAAAATTCCTGGACTTTGTCCCTCAAGGTAGTCAATGTTACCAACAGTTACCAACCTTTGTAACATACGGTGCCATAATGAAATAATAAAAAATATATAATGAATACAGCAATGCAGCCACCGAATTGACACATATTACAGCCTGAAACGTAAGTCATATTCACTGAGACTCACCACTTTACACTTAAGTTCATGCAAATAATTTGATCCTTCAACAAAAAATCGTTTGGGGGACTGCACTCTTTGTTGCTAAGCAGGAAACATCCTAAAAAGTTTTGACGTTGAACAAATACCTTGTCATGCCTTAGGAGACCATATTGTAACCACAGCTGTCCAGAAAGAAAACCTGTATGAAATGGGGCCGAACTGATACCATTTGTTGTCCCTTGAGACTGAAATGATTTAATTATTAGGTAGTGATCAGATTTGGACTCTTTCATTTCCTCCGAATCCCAATTAGTTTGTATTATATCCTGAAATCCCATACTTTAACAAAAATAAGAAACTCGCGACAAATACATCTCTGAAATTGTTACGATTAAGGCATTTTTAATTAGACTTCCCATATCCACATAAGCAGTACATAACTTTTTTCCCTGAATTCAAAAGTTTCAGACGTCACTATACACTTTCGTATCAAAAATAGCTATTGCTTCAACTTGAGCTGCTTGTTTCGTTCCGAATAAACTAGCTATTGCTTCAACTTGAGCTGCTTGTTTTTTCCGCTTTCATCAATTAAGCCAAAGCCAAATTCGCAATACTTGAAAATGGTGAAGAACATACCCTTATACGCCAGCATATCTCCAAACCGGTTAAAAAAGACACACCGCAGTTCCGATTGCAAATGTGCTAAGCCAACTCAAAAGCTGACTTGGAAATGCGTCCTCGGCATTTGTTGATGTCATTTCCTTTGTGTTACTCTTATTTGACCAGCTTGGTCATATATCACCATGCTTTTATAAATCATCTTGAACAGATTAAGGATCATGAAATGGATGCCGTACATAAATACTTCATCCACACGTACGTATCATGAAGGTCACCGCACAGGTCTTCATTGGTGATTACTTATTATTTGACAAAGACGTAATGTCAAAACAGATTATCAACCAAAGAACGACACCAACTCATTCTGTTCTAAAGTATTGCAATGACCAGAAAGAATATTAAATTTCTTGAAATTTTAAATCAAGAGCAAAGACCTCATCAATATCCTAAAATTTTGAATCTTTCTTTGACAGCAGGCAGAATAAGAATAATGCAGTGAAATACAATCCATACTGACGTCCAGATCTTTCATAATTACGCCAATCCCGACAAGATCAATGGTATGCATTTATTGACGAAATAATTAAAAGACGATTCGCTATCTAACACCACCATAAAAATCAAATTTTGTAAATGGTAGCAGCTAAATTATTGACATGCCCACAACGGATTATTAAGAAAAAGGGGAAAACAAAACCTACTTCATTGCACTCAAAAAGACAAAATAATAAAAGGTAATCAAACAATTAGTTCGCAGAAACCGAAAAAAGACGGTAAAAATAGTTCCCACACTTTCCAAATAACGATATTTTATGCATTTCAAAAAGTTTAAGGAGTAAAAATATACATACTTCTTTTCCTGTGCTACCAGTTCCGTAATTGGATGCACATAAATTATTGAATGTCTTTCCTAGAATGGCGCAACACAAAGACTTGCTTTGTATGAAGCAAAGAGAACTGATCAACATCATATTAGAACTTTTTTTTGAAATAAAGTAGCTTTAAACTACGTAGATGATTATGCAATAACGAACAGAAACATGACAGTAGTAAACTTGGTAATACCAATACAATGATGTTTCAACAAGGTTATTTTAATAAGGCTGAGCTAATGAGAATGGCACAGCAGAAGCATCTCCAGAAACACTAGAAGTAGAGCTATTTCCAGCGCTTCCATGCTTTTGCTGTTGCTTTGCACTTAAAACTGTTGGATCTTCCAACTCATGTTGTTGCATAGCATTCGGATCCAAAACCATCCCAGCAAATTTACCCACTGCTAATGACGCTACTTCAATCATACCCACTATCACCGCTCCAACGGCTGCTGAACCCATCATCACCTGCAATGAGCTTTACATTTTACGAGTTTGCCGCATGAACAATCCTGTAATCAACCATTAAAAAAAACCTGTCGAGTGAATTAGTAAACCTACTCTAAGAAACAATGAAGGCCTAATTACAATAAAAACAAATATCCCCAATTTATAACATAGATAGTCAGATGACTTCATCATTTCGCCTTTTAATAAATTAGATAAACTTTGAAGGAATACATAGTCGTAATCCAAGAATGAATGAATAAAATATGAAGATTTTGAAGTTTCAGAAATACAAACCATGGGGCCAGACCGTACAGCCAATAGAGCGCCAGTCAGACCACCAGATACGATTGGATTGAGCATATCCTCCTGCAATAGTTGCATAGATAACTGAAACATGCTATGTAAGAGATATAAATAAAAAAAGCTTGTTTCCTCCCGTAAAAGTAGTTTTTGAGAACAAATCCTTTAAAGCTATAGAAACAAATTTGATAAAACTGATGAAAGTAGAAGGAGAAATAGTTGTGAACCTTCTTTCTTATGGCTACTAGGCTACAATCAATCGCACTAAATAAACCGCCCCATGCTGCAAACTGTCCACCAACAACTGGTGACCGCGTACGTACCTGTAATCAAATAAGATATATAGCTACGAAGGGGATGAAACAACTGATGAGGATCAAATAATAAGGTTAAAAAAAAATACCTCACGCATGATGCCAACAAGTTTATGTCCCCATGGGGAATTTCTGAAGCCACTGTGAGCGTGAAATATAGATCCACCAGCTAAACCTAGTGAAAATGCACCACCAACATCATCTCCAATTCTGTAGGGACTGAAAAATTTTAAGTACAAAATGATTACACAATGAATTTCAAAATGAATCCTCGAAAAAATGAGAAAAATCAAAATTAAAATGAATTTAGAAATAAATTTCTCGGTTTTTTGGTTTTTTTTTTTTTTTTTTGGTTGAAAATGAATTTGCACTATTAGTAAGGTGTGAATGAAATAATACAAGTAATTATTATTACAGACTATATCTTGCTGATATCTGCTACACGATCTAATAATAGTTCTGTGAATCCCATTTTGTTGCATTCTGCTACACCCGAACCTTACCTATCGTAACGTCCGAGGAAATCAACACTCTGACAAAAACATAAACGGGGGCAAGAAAAGGTGGAAGTGTAAAGAAAAAAAAAGTTTAGTACCAGTGGAATATTAACTGATAGTAGATAGTAGAATACAAACAATTAATTTGTACCTGTAATATTTGCATTTACAACAGAAAAAACGCTTGGAGGCTATGGAAGGCGATAATAAACAGCCACTACTTACGGCACCAGAAATTTGAAAACAATGGGTATAAGTCATATTAGTCAGCAAGAAACAGACAATGATAGTTATTCAGTACAAAGGTAACATAACCGTAAGCAGAAAGTTACTTACCACGGTTCACGATCATCCATTCGATCAAACAGGAAGATTGATGGATTATTGGCAACAAGCAACTTTGTGTATCATACAAGTATTACCTGAAATCGACCTCGTTAACCGGGAAACACTATTCGCCAACTCGCACAACTCTCCTCACCCCGCCACGTCCCTCCTTTTCCCAACCGTCCCGGAAAATTCCCTGAAAACACTGCTCATATTTGGAAGTCGTAAATGTATCATCAACGCCCGTTAAAATGTGACTAAGGTGAGAAGGGATTTTGAATTTTCGTAGCAATTATGAATTGAGTTGTAAAGTTCCGCTTATATCTGTCTGTTTTGCTTAATCCCTTGGATTTACATGAGTGTTGTGCATACGTACGTGTGATTTGCACCACTGTTAACGTTAAATAAGTCACGATATTTCGCGCAGTTTTTAAATTGCTTAGCAGCTTTTTGATTTGCTCTGTTCAGTAAGTAATTTAGATGTAAAAAATGTGTAGCATGAACACTGGTCTAAGAACGGTATTGGTAAAGAAAGTGATGGTACGAGCAATCTCCCGACTAGCGATGACTCATGCAGCATATATTATCCAGTTAGTGAAGATTTTTTGAGGCGGTTTTCTTCGCTGGAAATTTCAAGAATGGTTATTTGCTCATTTTCAGAAAACTTTCCCATCGGAAAATAAAACTTGGTTGCTGTTGCTACTTTAGTTCAATGGATAAGTTGAAAGCGAAGTAAAGAGTTTATTTAAGAAGAATGGGAATCACATCCTACTGTACGTGTAACAGATGAGACAGGTTTTACTCTTGTAAGACTCAAAGACGATAAATTATACGTTTTGTAAATTCCCATTGGTGTTTTTGCTGTAATGGTCTTTCACTTTCCGTTTTTCTTCTCACTCCTACATATGTTCGGGAAAAAAACTCGAATTTTACGCCTTTATTATTGAATCTTTTGCTATTACTTTATCCAGCGTTATGAGTTTGAAATTTGTGGCGAGACACAGTACCATCAGTGATATTCTCCTGCGAATGATGGTTAATCTCCGTCAATGAACAATGCAAATGACCGACACAAGTGAAGGTGTTCGGTATTTTTTTTTCATTTAATCTTCCATTTCAGATGGAAGACTAAATGAAACACTCTTCCATTTGAGATTTCTTCAGTGCTCTTGACTATGCACTATCAATAGTTCACATTTTCAGCTGTTTTGTCATGCCTTCCATATTGCGATCACTACTACCAGTGGTGACATATGTATTTACCATCCATTATGGAAGTCTATCACATTGAGAGAATCCTCGATATGTTCCGTTTAAATTTTTTTTTCGGAGCTAAATAACATGAAATTATCAAAATAGTTTGCACTGTTAAGTTTGCATTTTATAACTGTCTTTAATGCTTCACACTGCATACGGAAAAAGAATTCCTAGCGGAACAAAAGAACCAAGATCTCGAAATGGCTGAGATACGTGGAAACATGACGAAAAAGGAAATATTCCTTCAAACTTCAAGCTATTAGAGGAGCACCGTTACCAGTTAAATTAATAAGTTTATGTAGTTCAAATTTCAGATGGATTATTAATGTCGTTATCTTACAAAAAATCTTTATACAGAATTTTCAGCGTGCACTCGTTTCTATTACTGGTTCTGATGACCATATGGACAGTTTTCCACTTTTTTTAAAAGAAAGTTGAAAGCGTAATACTTTACAACGATGAGACCAGATGTGCTTGTCTGAAGATGTACATATTAAAGATATACATATATAAGTGATCCCGAAGTATATGGATCGAAACGGTCATTT